ATGGGGCTGAGATGTCAGGAGGCCCAGGATTCTGTGGTTCCAGAGAAGCCGTGGAACTCCTCAAATACCTATGGGGGTGGGGGGCTAAGGGCATTCAATCATTCATTCATTCCATCAGATATTGATTGGGTGCCTGCCTTCTGCCAGGCCCCCCAAGAGGCTCTGGACGATGCCCAAAAATTGGCCTGATGGTGTGAGAGCAAGTGAGCCCCACTTTCTTTGCCAGCCCAGGAGATGAGCTCTGCATTCCTGTCCAGCCATGTCCTTCTGGCATTCTCTCTCCTTCCTCTCAGCTCTAGATCCTCAGTCCAGCTGGTGGAATGAGGATGGTAGGGGTGACCCAGGTCCCCTACTTGCCACCCTCCTCAGCCCCCTCCCCGGGCCCTTCTCATCTTCCTGGCCTCTAAGCCTTGGCATCCTGGGGCTCAGACCCTGCCCCTCTTCTCTGCTCTGCTGCCTTGGTCCATTCATCAAGTCTCGTGGCTTTAGATATCATCTGCCTGCTGACAACAGGCACACTCCTGTCTTGGGCCAGGACTTGTCCTGGGAGTCCCAGACTCCAGGGCATTTCCCCAGGGAAATAGGCCTCTCTGACTTAAGGTGGCTGACACTGAGCTTCCCATTCTCCCCAATCCCAGCCTTGGACTGAGCCTGACTCCTTCCTTCCCTGGGAAATCCACATGCAGACTTTCTGGAAATCCTATCTGCAGATCCTTGGGAATATTTTCCAGCTCTGACCCCTTCCCATCTCCTTCACTGCTTCTACCTTGGTTCAGGACATCTTCTCTTGTCTAGATTATTGCCAGCAGGCTCCTAACTGTTCTGCCTGGTCCTGCCCTTGTCCTATTTCAGTCTCTTATGAATGTAGCAACCAGAGGGTCCTGTAGAATGTGAGACCCTCTGATGGCTTTCTGCAATACCCAAGCCCTTTCTATGACCTGCCGGGGCCTCTGGGCATCTCTGCATTGGCTCTTCCTTGCTCGAGTGAGCCTCTTGCTCACTCTACTCTTGTCTTTCTGGCCTCAGACCTGTTCCTCAAACATTCCGGGCATGCTCCCATCTCAGGGCCTTTGTACTTGCTGTTCCTTCTGCCTGGAACATTCTCCCCTCGGCTTTCCATATGGCTCCCTCCCTCTCACCTCCTTCAGACCTTTACTCAGACTTCACAGGGAGGATTTTATTGACGCCCACCCCCACTCTGGAATTTCCTATCCCCCTTTCCTGCTGGATTTTTCTCCATATCACTCCTCATAGTTTAACAGACTATATAATTAACTTGTTCATTTCATTTATTATAGATTGCAGGTGTCGGGAGGGCCAGGTCTTTATTTTGTCTGCAGCCAAAAGGACCCATGGCCCCTGGGGTGGCTCAGATCTTTTCTGGCCTCCTGAGTACCAGGACGCTCAGCCCCACAGAGCCGAGAGAAGACACTCAGAGGGTTTTTCGAGAGCTATGGCTCTGCCAGGCGAGGTCCACCGTCCCACACTTCCACATGGTCAGGCCTCTGTCCATTCCAGAAGGGTGCTGGCCCTGTGTCAGGCTCTCAACAGATCCTGCCCTTTGGTTGAGCAAGGTCTGGTAGACTGTGTCCCTGTCCTTGGTAAGAGCAGGAGCTCCAGCCGTCTTTCTGGGGCCCACCCTGCCTGTCCCACTGCCCCTCTGAGTCTGAGGAATGTTGGGTGTGAACGGTCAACGCCAGAGTGTCTCTCTTTGCTGAGCCCCTTTCCACCCCCTTAGGTCACCTGCCCCCACCCTGTCCCTCCTCACAGTTCTCTGCTGTCCTTTGGAAACACAGCAGGGTCCTGTCCCAGGGCCCACCCCCAATGGCCTGGCCACCCCACTCCTCTCAGCCCTGTCTCCCAAACAGCCCCTCACTTCTCGCCATCCCCACAGCTAACACTCTGGTCCAACGGCCATAGCCTCTCATCAGGACGTCCAGGATGTCCGCAACAGCCCCGACTAGCTTCCCCGCCTCCCCAGCCAGCAGCCAGAACTGACCTTCCAAATCAGTGTCCCCTGCTCGTGGTTCCCATCACACTTAGAATGAGATCCGATTTCTTCCCAACATGTTGGAGCTCCTCAGCTACCTCTCCGACCTCATGCTGTGGGATGCCCTCCCTTCGTGCCCTGTGCTCAGCCAGTCCGGCCTCCCCGCTGACCCCCAAACTCCCCTTCTCTGCCCTGCCTTTGTAAGGCCTTTGCCCTTTTGCCAGTCCCTTCTCAGGGATGTGTTCCCCCAAATCATCTTAGCTCCTTCCTCTTCTTCATTTAGAGAAGCTGTCCTACCTCATCTAGGTGACCCCTCCCTGCCCTCCACCCGCCCCCTCACAGCTCTGAAACCATCTGAGGGGGTTATTCCTGCTCCTGCTCCCTGCTTGCTCCCTTCACTAGAGTATCATGTTCACAGAGGGGCCAGCATTGTTTGTTCCACCCTTGGATCCCCTGTACTGAGACAACAGTGTCCTGCACGGAGTGAGCGCTTACTGAATGTCTCATCAGTAAATGAGTGAATGCTTCTAGAGGCCAAGTCTCATTCCTTCTGGAATGATCTCTGGTTTGGGTTAGGAGCCAGGCACCCTCAGCACCACATGCTTTCTTCTAACCCTGCCTGCGTCATGGCATACGTGCTACCTTCCTGGGACTGTTTCTAGACAGTGAGCCCCTCTCCTGCCCTCCCACGTGGCAGGCTCACAGTGAGGATGGGTGTAACAGACCCGAATTGGGAGCTGGCTCAGGCCCCGCCCACCAGCGGCAGCCCCGCCCACCCCAGGCACAGCCCCGCCCACCTCCCTGTGGGAGGAGTGCTCCCACCTCTGGGAGAAGCTCCATCCACCTCCCTGGGCCTTAGCTCCACCCACTTCAGTGGGCCTAGGGATCCTTCTAGAAGAATGATCCCGGCCTTCCAGCTTCTCTAGCCAACCAGGTTAGGGCTTAATAAAAATGAGAGAATCTAATTACGATTAGAATCTATTAGAGAATGATAGGAACTCACATCTTGCAACTTCCAAAAATTACCTTTGTTGTTTAGCCCAAGATTAGCATATTATAGATCAGGGGTCAGCAAACCATGCCAAATGCAGCCTGCTGCCTGTTTTTGTAAATGAAGTTAAGTTTCCTTGGAGCATCTGTCTATACTCCAAGGACGGCCTCGGGTAGTTGGGAGAGAGGCTGTACGGCCCACAAAACCTAATATATTTACTGTCTGGCCCTTTATACAAAAAGTTTGCCAACTCTTGTTACAAATACTCAAAAAAATACTGTTGGATTAAGTAGGCTTAAATCAGAGCCTTGGAATCCTGCCCTGTTAACACCACCAGTTCGAGTCTTTTGTCCAGGGGCACCAAAATGAACTAAACACTCTAAGCATTTCTCTCTTTAATAATAAGGAGATGGAGGTATAGAGTAGGTAGAAATAGCCACTGAAGAATCCTATATCTGTCCTTTAGTTAACAGACAACATTTATGGAGCACCTACTCTATTCCAGAAGCTGTTTGGGACACAGCCATGAAGGAGACAAAGTTCCTACGCCCACCCCTTGGTGGCTAGCTGATTAGGTATTACATCCTCACTGCGCTCAACCAGTGGGGCTCCCGGTGTGAGGCTGAGCTTTGGTCCCCCACTTCTACCTCCACCAGCAGGCTGCATCTGTGCCGTGCCCGACTCCCAGGGCCAGCTGCCTGGGGCCACAGACGGCACGCCATTCGTTCCCCTCAATTTTCTCAGCCTGCCCTTACGCCACCCCCCCACCCCCCAGCTCCTTCAAGAGTCCCAACATGGTAAGGGGGGGGAGCACGATCAAACGGTCTTTTAGGAATTCCATTTAAGAGCAGTGTCTTTCAGGAATTCGAAAAAGGAAATGATGAGCACTGTAAGATACTTTTCTTCCTTTAAAAAGAAGTCTATAAATTACATCGTGTTTCCTTCCTTTCTCCTCCTCGCTGCCTGGCTGACTTCATGTTCTGTGTGCTTTTCAATGAAACCAGGTTGATTCCAGGCTGACCCGGGAGTTGGCTTTGATGTGAGGAGTAGTTATTGAAAGAGACAGGGTGATCCATGTGATGAAATGCCTCCTACACTTTCCATAAAAGTGAACGGAGGGTGATGCTAGCAGTTCTGCTGTGGGGGATGGGAAGGAAGGGAGGCATTAGCGGCCTCTGAGCAGCTGGGAAGGGCACTGGGGGCGGCAGGTGGGCATGCTCCTGGGAAGAGAGCAAACCTCTTCTGGAAGAGCCTCCTGAGAGCCCGGAGCAGAGCTTTCAACCACTTCTGCTCAGGTGGCTTTGCTGTCCCAGGCATCAAGGACCCTCAGCCCCTCTCCTGGAAATCCCTTTCTCAGGGAGCATTTTACCTTGTTGGTTTTTGCTGATTCTTGAGAAATTTTCTTTGGGACTCAAAATGCTTTCTCTGATAATATGCCTCAGGTGGATTTAAGGTCACCACTCTTACTTAAAGATTTAACCTTGACTTGATCGTGGGGGAAGAAAAATAAATCTCACGTATTGTCTCAGGAGAAGTTCCAGTCTGACACTGCCTGATGAGTTTCTTCATTCAGTTATTCAAGAACTATTTACTGAGCACTTACTATGTGCAGGGCACGGGGCTGGGAATAAGAACAAGTGGACAAGATAAGGGAGGGTCCCAAGACCGCCAGGGAGATGTTTACACAAATAGACAAGGACCCCACAAATTGATAAAGGTGCTGTGCTCTGGGAACCCATGCAGGGGCACGGAGGACTTCCTGTAGGAGGTGATGTTTCAGCCTGCGACCTGGAGGATTGGTAGTGGTTTATCATACAAAGGGGGAGGGAAGAGGGTTGTAGGCAGAGGGAACAGCATGCATGAAGGTTTGGCCTCCGGACAGGAGGAAAGGAGGGAGGCTCAGCTTTTTCCTGCCCTCTGCTGAGACAGGGATCTCTAGATAGTCCTGGCCTTTGGTGCTCCGGAGGTTGGATGGACAGGACCCACCCCCAGAAGGGAGAAAAAATTGCATGCACTCACGGAGGAAATATTCTGCTGTGTCAGCTTCGTAATCTGCATCCTCTGGGAAGTGATCGATTTGCTTGCAGAGACCTTTGAAGTTCCCTGGAAAACAAGAGGAGAAAGGACACTTGAAACATCAGAGTTTCCAGGGGCTCAGCACCCACCGGCCTCTTGCCGATTTCTCGTTCTTCTGAAGCTGGCTCAGCCCTCTCCCTGGCCCCTGAAGGAAGGTTTCGCTTTGTCTGTTTGGACATCTGCCTGGTGAATCAAAACACACACACCTGCGGTGCCGCGGAGAGGATCTAAGGCCTAAGACTTCAAAACCCAGCCTTCCATCCCTGCACCGAGGCTTCTGAAGATCAGCTGAAGCTTGGTGGGCAGCAGAGGTTTGGCTCGGGGCTGGGGACTGCCGCCCGAGGAGGAGGCTGATGAACGGGTCAGTCCATCCACCTCTGTGCCCCGGCTCTGCTGGGAGTCATCTTGCATTTTCCATGGCAGAGAGCAGATCACTCTGCAAAGAAGGCAGACCCCACGTGGATGCTGACAAATGTTCCCACGGCCCTTAAATGAGCTTGCAAAAGCGCCTTCCCATCTGCCGTGCCTGGGATGCGCTGTGCCCAGCCCCCAGCTGCGCTGAAATGCTCCCGGGCTGGGGGCAGGGAAGAGGCTGAGCCCCCCCCCGGGGCTTGGGCCCTCTGCCAGGCTCCATCAATTTGGCTTTACCACAGGCCTGTGAGAGGGGTATTATCTCCTCCATTATACAGAGGAAGAAACTGAGGCTCAGGGAGGCTACTTGATCCAAGTAAGTACTCATGGTCAGGAAATGATGGAAGCAGGGCTCAAATGGAGGCCTGTTGACTCTAAATCTTTCCTGGGGTGATGGCTGAGAAGGTGAACAGCGGCTCAGGTGAAAACCCAACGTCACAGCCGTCGCCCCCCCACGGCCCCGGCCAGCGACCACTAAGTGAATGAGCCAACTAGTGAATGTGATCTCCTTAAGGACCGATGCATGGAATAGAGCTTGTGAGCTGGTCGGCTTCGGGACAGCAGAAACTTGTGTTTCACACACCGTTGTACCCCCAGACCAGCCCAGCTATAGCCCATGTTGTCGAGCTTTCTCTGAATGCGCAAATAACCCACCCCGTGCTAGGAGACGTGGCAGCTCCCGTGGCTGGGCTGCCCGTAGCTGGCACATCGGGAAAAGTGCTTGGGGGCATCCTTGTGAGGGAGAATTGGACGCTGACTATATTCAGCCACTGACATTTGGGAATTTTCTGTGACGGGAGCTAATATAACCTAATTAATACAGTCCTCAGTATGTGTTAGCAATTTATTTTCCTATAGAGTGCTGAGCCTTCAGTAGATTGTCTTGTGTCCTATAGATATTATTTAGGAATTTTAAGGCATTCTTACATGCCGTATACACCTGCTTATATAGGATACAGGTGTACGTACATAAAGATAGGCGTTTTAGACATTTCTAGCTATTATATGTTACAGAGAATGTGGTTGACCCCCCATTCGCTGTCTCTGCACCAAATTCACCCCCTTTCCTGACTTCTGCAAGAAAAACCATTCTCCAGAGCTTATGGGGACTTCTGGTAACATCACTGAAGCTTGGTGGGGTCTCAGGAGCACAGTGGTTCGCTGGAAATGCTCCCCTGGGACTTGCTTCCTGTCTAAGTGTTCTGGGCGCTTCCCCTTCTTGCTCACCCACCCCACCTCTCCGCCCTGCCCTCAATTCACAGGGGTCCCTCTAGGACTTCCCCCCTCGTCCCACCACACACCCTTCTCTCCTGAGAAGTCTTCGTTTCTGCTGCTAAGAGGCTAAAATATCCTCCCTATTGTTCAAATGACAAATCAGTGTATTTGCGAAGCACTTTCATTTTCTCTCAATTCAATCTGACAAATACTTCGTCGGTGCCAACCCGGTGCCGTGCATCTTTATAAGGGCTCTGTGTAGGCAGTGAGGTGGAGAGCAGGGTACAGACGTGCCCCTAGGCTCCTCACAAATCCGGGACAGTGTGCAACCCCAGACCAAGGGCTTGTGAGTGGTGCCTCCACGTCTCTCTTCTAAGGGCCCTGCGCTTCGTGCTGGCGGCCCACACACCCTGCCCTGCAGCCTGACCTCTCCTCTGCACGAGCCGCACCCAGTCCTTCTCAGACCGTGGGCTCCCAGTGCGGTGCCTGGCGCAGAGCAAGGGCTCAAGAGATGCTATGGGGAGGCTGTGTGAAGTCACCAGCGGCCCATTCTCTCCTGTGAGGGCCGGACCTGGTATCACCTGCCTATCTGATATGTCCTGGTAGATGTGTTAAAGGCGCTGTACATTCAGCAGGTCCAAACCTGAACTCGGGATCTTTCTCCCTCCAGCCTGGCCTTCTGGAGGCACCAACCAGCTCAGGGAATGTGTGTCCGTCGCTGCCTGTGTAAGCCTGAGCCCACCTGTCACAGCCGTCCTCTCCTCCTCACTGCAGGCTCCATCCCTCAGGACGTCCAGTCTGCACCAGCTCTCAGGAGCTCTCAAAACGGTCAGTTTCTCGCCATTGGCAGCAACACCCATGGCCAGGCCACCATCCTGGTTTCCCTGCATGACTGCTGTGGCCTCCCCACTGGTCATTTTGCACCCACCTTTATCCCTCCCTACAGAGTAATCATAGTGATCCTTTGAAAATGCCAATCTGATCAAGCCGCCTCTAGCTGGAAACACTCAACAGCTTCCCAGGGCTCTAGGGGAAGCTTAGCATCTTTAAGAGGCCTGACCCTGACCTCTGCCTGGTCTTATTTCCCGCCTACCTCCCTGTGTCTGCGCATAGGCCAACTCAGCCGTCCTTCATGCATGCTCCCTCCTACCACAGGACCTTTGCACGTGCTGGTCTGGCTGCTTGAGCCCCCACCACATCCTTTGTTGTCTCCTTCCCTCAGCCTCCCCCTGCCCCCCTGCACTGTGCTAGTGGGGTATCTGCTGCTCTGCTGTCCATTCTGTGTTGGGGGGGAGATGTTAAGGCGAGTGATGGTGGTGGGAATGTTCTAGTAGAGAGGGAAGACGTGATGACCTGAGAGAGGAGGGAGCAATGCAGGAGCAATGTGAGAGGGGGATGAGGTCCAGGACACAAGTGCAAGGGTGGCTTCATATGGTGGTGTGTCTGCAGCAGCAGGAGGGAAGGTGCCACTTATGGGTGTGGGTGCAGGGGATGAGTAGACATGGTGGGAGCCCTGATACTTCTCTTCTGGTTGTTTCCATTTTTTTGATGAGATGGGAAGCAGGATCATGACCGGAGCACGAGGAAGGGGAAGCAGGGTTGGAGATTTGAGAATAGAGGAAGGGAGTGAGATTTTTCTCCCTGAGATGGGAAGAGAGAATGGACCAAGCCGGAGACATGAAGGTCCCTTTGAGATTCTGTGGTTTTCTCCGGCTACATTTAGGGTGTGCCTGGGTCTGGCTGGAGGGTTGCCTTTAACCAGGGTGGGAGTCTGTGTGATGAACACGAGAGCAGGGGTAGGGCAGGCAGTGATTGTGAAGATGGGTCAGACTCTAAGCTGGGGAAGTGGAGAGGTGGTGGGGTTAATGCATTGGAAGCCTAGGGTGGGGGGTCAAGGAATGTCGGAGTGGGGGGCTCATGGGAGTGAGCTGGAAGGCTGGGGCATGGGAGTCAGAAAGTGGGTGCTAAGGATTGAGATTGTTGAGGGGTGTGGTGGTTGGTCATGTCGGGGTCAAGGGTAAGACCATGAACTGGGTTGGCTAAGGTCGGATGGAGGTAGGGATGACATTCTAAGTATCTAGCAACCAGAAAGGTCATCCCAATTAACACAGAAGACAAAAACTAAACGTTCACTTTTACTTTTTACATGCAATCAAGTATGTATTAGGAAACTGCTTACCAATTTAAGGTTGATATGCAAAGGATTCATCACATTATTCTGATAAACCCCAAATCATCAGTTGGTTTTTAGAAACTATTTGTGTGAGGCCCTTTCAAGCTGAATGATGGTCCTGTCTGGACCATGGTTTGACACAGGGAACCATACCAGAACCTTGCAACACTTCTCTGTTAGAGTAAGACTTGTTTTGTCTCAGTGAGTACAGAATTCTCTCCTACACTGTCCCATGCCATACACTTCTCCCAGAAGGTAGCCCTCCATCCTGGGCAACCCCAGAGGTGGGGAGGGATGCTCCTTGGGGATGGTGGAGTGGGGGGTGGGGAGGAGAAAAGCGGGTACCTCAGAGGTAGTTCTGTCATGGGCGGTGGTATGTGCGCCCCACCTGGCCCAGCCACTCTAGCTGTAGTAAGGTTCTGTGCTTCTGGGGCCCTGGCCCACCCCCGAGGAGGCAGATGTGCCGGGGCTGGGCCCACAGCTCGGAGAGCTGCCGGGCCTGGGGCACAGAGGAGATGGGGCCTCAGTCCTGGCCCCTCCCTGCTCTGTCTGCCACAGCCAGGAGCCACCCCTGCCCAGCCCTCTTCCTGCACTTTGTGGGGCTGACTGGTACACGGGATTTCAGCAGTTAACAGCCAGTGAGGCAGGACTGATATGTGCTGGCTGAGCAAGGTGGGCAAGGCCAGGTACCGGGGGCGCTGTCTGCCTGATTGTGAACCCCAAGAGGGCTGCACGGTGCCCTTGGAGAATGAGGCAGGCCAGTGCTTCTTCACTCCTCCAAGAATGAGGGGGATGCCCACGTTGAGAATGGGCAGGAAACAGTCAGGGAAGAGAAGGCTGGGTGAGTTTCAGAGAGGCAGGGCTTTAGGGAAGAGGCAGTGAAGAGCAGGGAGGGTCCTACCTCCTCGAGGGTGTGGGTGATAAAACACCCCCTGTGAAGGATCGCAAGGGGGTGGTGTCCTCAAGGGACAGCCGGGTTTCTATCAGAGTAAGCAGAAAAGAGGTTAGGAACATGGGGAGTTTGCTGACATCCGGACAAAATGCTGGGGAGCCCAGGGCAAGGATTTGGAAGGCTGGGGGAGTTGGGGACTGGGTCAGATTGGGAGGTGAGCCGAGCCCCGAAGGACACATGACTGGTAGTGAGGAATAACAGAGGTAAGCCAGGGTCGTGATGGGATCGGTCCCGTAGTCCCTGAGGCTGATGGTGGCAGTGGGGTGGTGAGGATGG